CAGTCAAATCCACCAAAACTATACTTTATTCAAAATTGGCGGACATGTTTTGAAGCTTCAAGGCTTCATCACCAGCAAAAGTTGTTCCAGGAAGTTTGTTACAAAAAGCTACGTCAGACAAATTATTCAAATAATTAAAGTCAAAGGAAACCTCACCTGTTCTGGGAAAAAATTATTTCACATGTTAAGAAAACAAAATTACAATTCACATATTAATACTTTCAGAAAATGTATAAAAAAGAGACCGCAATTGGATGCGGATCATCTTTGTCATTATAGTAGAATAAACATCATTTTTGTAGTAATTGAGATTTTTTTTTAATCGAATGAATTCAAACATTAATTCACCATCTATACTTCAACTCTATTTACTTCTTGGCACCTTAAATGAAATCGCGATCGCATTACTCATGTTATATTGTAACATTATTGTAACAAACATTGTATATATTTTTTTGAATCTGTCCTCTAAGTGGGTATATTCCTGTTTGGACAATAAATGATTTTTTTTTTTTTTTTTTTTTTTTCATTAATGATGTAAAAAGTACAAGCTTGAACATTGCACCAAAGAAAAACGAGGCAAAGAGTTTCAAATATCGAAAATGGTATTTAAAATAGAATTTCTTTGACATGAAGTGAAGGATGACATGAAAACATCAAAACAGTGGCGCTACAGAACTATGTATGGAATTGAGAACAGAATTTTCAAAACATTGAAATGATTACAAAATAAATATTATGATAATATGATGATAATAATGATTATAATAATGATAATAATATTATTCATTCTGTTCATTAATTGTGGCACTTTATCTCAACAACAATTTTGTTGTTTATTTTGAATCATCGGTTTGAAGTGCACCTATTAGAAGAATCTTCTCCTGAAGATGCTAACATAGTTAGCGAAACACGTGTCGAGGCGTTAAAAAATCGGTTTGGTTAGTGGTAAAACAGTGTAGTGTACAAAAAATATTAATCTGCCGGTTTGCATGGTGGAGGTGGCCGTACGAAGGCGGGTAGGGAAAAAGTTGAAAAAATGTATCCGAGCGCGTCAGATACTGAGAAGGGATGTTAAGTGAACCCTCAAGTAGCTCCTCTTCAAAAGACTGACAATTTGCACTCGATCAGAATCAATTTTTGAAAATGAAAAAAAAAAATCGTGACCTTGAAATACTCTAGCGCGTCAGATTATTATACATACGCTTCATCTTGTCGTATTGACACATAATCTGACTATCATGTTGAGGAATTTCCTCAATCTAACGCTTGGATTATTTTTAAACAATTCAAGCTAAATGAACCTTCTTCCTACAAAGTATATTTTTCGAAAAATTACTTGAGGGAACAAAAGAGACTAATTTTACTAAACAATCGAAATATATTCACTGCCTATATGAATGTATCTCATCAACTATGTTCATATTTGTGTTGCATTTTTGTTGATTTCTTGTTATTTTATAAATTAATTTACATTCTATCTGTAGAATTCTTTCCAGCGGCAAAATTTCAGTTTGACGGTAGATAATTTCTGTATGTGTTCTGTAGGCATAGCCAAATAAAGTTTCTACTACCTTATTTTGCAGTTGTGATTTTTTTGAATATTGTACATATTCCCCAGTTTGTTATCAGATAACGGAATATAGAAAGAAAATAGGCGATATAGATCATGATTTTATTTTGTGAATTTAAATAACTTTGGATTTTTTCTAATTCTTCTAATTAACGAGAAATTTCAGCTTTAAAATTGAACAAAAAATAGATGAAAAAAGTATAGGACTCAAGGACAATTCAATAAATAATTGAATTCCTCGTAATTATGTCTTCCTTACAGAAATTTGTACAGAGGGGACGTCAAAATTTCGACAATGCAGGGATCTTTGGGTGGAAAAAGGGGCTCTCACCCCAAATTAGTATTTTTTTTTCATCGGTGTCATTCGACCACCCTGTTAACATGACTTTGATTAATTAATTGAAATAACATATCAAGACGAAATTATGTGGATAAGAATGAATATCACACAGTATTATTCTAATTTGAATAATATTCAATTTTAAATACATATGTGTGTATTCTGCTCGTATGTATTTCTCCTAAGTGAGGGAATTTCTCTTTGTTTTTTTCAACAAAAACATTGCTTTTCACCATTTAATATAAACTATATTCAGTGCACGCGCGGCTCGAGACACTCCAATTGATTTTGGATAAACTATACCTACCAATAGTTTCAATAATAACAACCCCAAAAGTTACTTCCACCCATTATGAACACAGATTAACGAAATATGGAAATACACAGCAATGAAAGGACTCCGCATTTTCAGTAGGTAAAATGGTTCTTGGTGATATTGACAAAAAATCGTGTTTTTTTAAATCACCCTGTTATTCATGATTAACTCGGTGAAATTCCCTAATTATTTTTCAATATATATTCATGATTCGATTCTCAACACTGTCCTGAAAGTTCAATTCCCTATCATGACATAGTAATTAATTTGGGAACTTGCCATTTGCATAAAGAGTTGAAGAGACTTGTTTACTCACATTCGCCTAGTGGCCGAGATTTTTCGACGAAAATAAGTGTAGTATTTATCTACAGGGTGAAGATTAGAAATAAATATAGCAGATATATGAATTCAATGATATCCATATAATATACAGAGTGTTTGATTTTGGCATGGTCCGAAGCACCGACAATACCTATCGTTGAATTTTGCAATGTTTCCGGACGTTCAATAGTTCAAAAATGTATCATTCTGAGGCCGTATATTCTAAAAAAATATATTGCTGTTTTTTTTGTCATTATGACCCATACAACACCTCTCCATATTTATCGCTGCTATACGTATTGAATTTTATCATTGGAATGTAATATGAATATGAATCTATTGCTATCGATAATTACTCATAGCAAACAAATATGAAAATGATGGAAACGCCTGATTCTGAGTGGAAAACAACTGTCAAAAAATCTGTCGATTCAACTTTCTCTATTAGAAATAAAAACGTGAAAGAACGAATCACTCTCCCTTTTCCTAGGTATAGTTCGTTTTCCATTTTAGCAGAGCTTATTCAAACAAAATTCACCTAACTATCTGTACATCATATTAATATTGAATTCATATATCTGCTATTGTTATTTCCAATCTTCGCCCTGTAGATGAATACTACACTAATTTTCGTCTACACATTCTCACTTTTCACTATTTGTGTCAACTCTTCACTAAATGGTAAGTTCCTAAATTAATAACTATTAAATCAGTCATGATAGGAAACTGAATTTTCTAGACAGTTTTGAGGAGCGATTGATGAATATATTATAAAATAATCAGGAATTTCACCGAGTTGATGATGAATAACAGGGTGATTTCAAAAAACACCAACGAAATCATGTTCATACGGTATCAGCTACCTTTGGCGGATAACAATTTACTCGAATATACAGGATGTGTATGAATAATTCGGTCATATGAGTCACCAATTTTACAAATCATCTTATATGATATGTTTGAATCATCATACTTGATGCAATGAGAATATTATATTGCATGCATAAATAATGTTACCGGTATTTCATTATTACTCGAATTTTCAGACATCACTAAAATATTTTTATTTTTCACTCTGTAAACAATTACATAATCGGAACCATCGGAATTATATTGAGTATTATGGAAGTACGTTAATGATATGAGCGGAAAAAATACACTTGGCACCTTTGAATTTCGAGAAAATAAGTAATTAAAAATTATCGATTTGTAACTTCAACGCCTTGTATTTCGGAATCTGTCCATCAAAGAACTTTACGATTTTGCAGGTTCAATCAGTTCATCTGATACTACAACATACTGAAAATTCAGAGAATTTCACCGTGAACCATTTTACGCACTTGAAGTACGGGGTCCTTCCTGTTTATTCACTGAAAATGAGATGAAATGGAGTGAAACCAGAGTATGATCTATGTAAACAATATGTCTGGTACTCTCGATGACGCGTCTATCCCCTCTCTCGTCGCACACCGTGCCGTAACTAGACAACCTCTCTTTTTCTAAATCTTGTTGACAAAGCTAGGTCAGATAATATTGTAAAAAAAGGTTAGAATATAACGACATATAAATACGTGACAATATAGTCAAAATAAATACCACATTAAAATACTAAAATATCACAACTCAAACGTATCACTATAATATTCCTGCAAACTGTAATAACGTCTATCAGAGAGAAACTTTTTGACTTTCTTCCTGAATTGACAGTCATTCAGACTTATTGCTGACCTTATATCAACTGGCAAGTGGTTGTGTATATTTTTCCACCATTAGAGTATATGGAATCTTCAATAAACTCTCTTGTTGGTAGAGGAAGTTTCAAACTGAAATTTCTATTGCGTGTGTTATGATGGATGGGAGTTGTAAAGAATTTTAACTTGTGCTTATTTATCAGGCAAACAGATTCCAAAATGAAAAGTGCAATCACTGTCAATATTTTATTATTGGAAAATAAAATTCTGCAAGAATCTCGAGGTTTGACATTACATAAATACCTTATCGCTCGTTTCTGTAGAATTAACAGAGTTTTTAAAGACGTTGGGCTGCACACTCCCCAAAAAAGTATTCCATAAATTGGGAATCGATTAATGAATAATATACCATCTTGGCAGTAAAGAATCCTAATTCCCTAGAAATCACTGTCACTGAATAACATCCAGAAGAAATCTTACCAGTGAGTAGCTTCGTTACCAAATTTCAGATTCTTGTCGATGAACAATCCCAGAAATTTAGTATCATTTCTACTTTCAATAAAATTATCACCAAATGTGAGTTCATCAAGGGAGGATCTGAATGATATTATACTAGTTCCAGAAATATTGAACGACAGAATATTGGCGTCACACCAATCTTTCACCTCTCGAGGATTCCTACTGTTCCATAATATAGTAGTATCAATAATAAATAGTTGTGTGGAAAAAATGGTAATTCCATAATCTAATCTTGCGTAGGACGTTATCAAGCCGGCGTGGCGGCCTACAACTCTGCCGTCTACGCGATCGGCGGTTGTGACGCGTGGAACTGTCTCAACTCGGTGGAGCGCTTCGACCCCGAAAAGAACGCCTGGCAGCCGGTGAAGCCGATCATGACGGCGCGCCGCGGCTGCGGCACTGTCGTCTTCGCGGGCAGGCTGTACGTGGTGGGCGGCTCGGACGGCTCGCACACGCTGAGCTCGACCGAGGTGTTCGACGAGGAGACGGGCGGCTGGGTGGCCGGGCCCGTCCTCACGACGCCGCGGGCCAACGTGGGGGTGGCCGTCGTAGGGGATCGGCTCTACGCTGTCGGGGGATTTTCAGGTGGGTGACGAGTGCTTTTAAGCAAATGATACTGCTGACCGATTGAACTGCAACAAGCACATATCTGTACTGAAATCAACATTGCATATTTTCAACAGTAATATCACTGTTGACCACAAAATTTTATTAGAGAAACTTCGTTCTTTTGGTTTTGCGGATAATATCTAAATGGCTACGTAGTTTCCTCAGTGGCCGCTCTCAAAGAGTTAAAATCAATAACTTTATATCTAACGATATTCAGGTCACGTCAGGTGTCCCTCAGGACTCTCACTGTGGACTCTTGCTATTCAATCTTTTTATAAATGACATTTCCGATGTAATCAAAAATGCAAGCTTCTTAGTTTTTGCTGATGACTTAAAAATGTTTCGCATCATTAGAGATGTCCAAGACAGTCAATTTCTTCAAAATGACCTTGACAACCTTTATCTGTGATGCGTCCGTAACAATCACGACCTAAATACCGATGAATGTCTTATAATATCATTTTCCCGTTCTCATAATGTTGCCCTATATAATCACAATATTAACAATATATTCTTGAAAAAAGTAACCGAGATTAAAGATCTTGGAATCATCTTTGATGAACGTCTCACCTTCAAGAGCCATATACTGGAAGTATCAGCATCCGCCAATAGAATGGTAGGTTTTCTATCGCGTAATACAAACAAATTTTCATGCAACTCATCATATATTTTGTACTGCTCCCTTGTACGTTCCTTATTGGACTATGGTTGTATGATTTGGTCACCATACTATGCATATGATATCACACTAATTGAACAAGTCCAAGTTAGATTCGCCAAACAGGGAACTTACCATAATTTCAACTATTTGGATACTCTTGATACCCTCAACCTAACTAATTTATCTGTCCGTCGATTCAGGCTAGGTAGTTATACTATGTTTAAGACTATCTCAGGTGAAATTGATTGCTATGAACTTCTCACTCAATGAGATTAACTTTAATGTTCCCTCATATTTTACTAGAAACAGAATCATTTGTTATAAATAATCATAGAACCAACTATGGGTTCTTCGGCCCTTTTTCCCGCATTTCGCGCAATTTCAATGAATTTAACATCGACCCATTCGTTCAGTCTAGCCATATTTCAAAATAGAATCTGTAAAATTGATCCTAGGTCACCATTAATTTAGTTGATACTTTTTTTCTCTTCCCTTTTTTCATTCTCTTTCGGCAGAATGTAATTGTTCAACCTAATGGCTGTAAATAGGAAATAGTTTCAACAACAAGATGTAGTGTTTAAAAAAAAGTTAAATTTATTTTATTGTTGAATTTCATCTGTTGATGTCCTAATGCCATCTTTATTATATATAATTTATTCCTATTTTCAAGGTGAATCCGAGTGGAGTTTCATTAGACTTTCTCAAACAAATTTGGCAAAAAGGGCCCATGGGGGCCTACTTGCCTGACTAAAGCCTCCCCACAATACTACTACTACTTCTCAAACAAATGGAAAGAATAAATCCTGAAATTCAGTAGTTTAAATATTAATAAACAGGAAACATTGACATCCAACGAAATACATATGTTATTAAACCTTTTTTTGCTCGAACAGGAATATTTAGATAATTCTCCTTCGTCTTTGACTCAGGAAAATTTTCGAATATTCGGAACAAATTTCCGGTAATAATTGCAGCTCTCGTGGTATTATACGTGAAACTTTTTGGATTTTTTTCAGTATATTGTTACTAGAATTGTTTTTGGAATTTTTTTCAATTGCAGCTCTCGTGGTATTATAAGTGAGAATTTTTAGATTTTTTTATTATATCAAAATATGTTTTTTTTTATCGCTTGGAGCGCACGAAAGGGAATCCCTATAATGTTCAAAGAACATCGTGCGTTCCTAGGGAGGATAGGGACAGGAGGTAGGTATTGGAATTGTTTTTGAACTTTTGGAGATTATATTTACGACTTTCCGTCGGCAGACGCTAACTTTTCGTCTGCGAACACTTTGTCCGTTGCAAGGTTGCCAGTGCTACTTACTTAATTTTCAGTATATCTCCTGATTTGCATATTGATCTACTAGCATTTTCATAACCTACTGAAAATTATTTTGACACTTATTTATTATAATAATCACATATATTATTATTAATCTTTAGTTAAGCACATACACTTCGGGACGTTCTGTTTCAATCAATTTAACAAAATAATCAATAGGTAGTAATGATATGTATACCAAAAAAGGACAATAACATATATGATTCAGATCAAATTCAATTTTTTAGATACCTCTGTTGAAAAAGTTTGTTTCCTACGTCTTGTATTTTGTGATATGTGAGTATTCTCAAATTGAGAATTAGCAATATGATTATTTTTTTATGAAAATATTTATTTTGTTTGTTTCTATTTTGTTGGTAACAGGTTACTTTTCACTAAAAGTGTTCACTAAAAGTACATTATGTTTTGACGTCATAGGTTTATATATAAAATAGAATAGAATTGTTTTATTCTCGGGAATCACAATTTTAGTAATAACACAAGTATATAATTTACTCATAACATATCATTATATCAAATACAATTAAAGAAAATGACGTCATAGTTAAAATACAAAATTGAATTCAAAATTGTATATTATATCCTTTTTTATAGGATTAGTTGACATTTTTTTGAATGTTTTCAAATTATTTTCCTGTTTGATATTTGCTGGTAGATTATTGAAAAACTTAATACACATATACTCTGTTGTGACTTCGTGTGTTCAAATTATGTATTCTATGTACCTCATATTTTTTCATTTGATAGATCAAGGAATATACCCATTGATGTTTTTATTCTCATACCCAGCATTCACCTTACCTATAAATTCATATATGGCAGTTTCATTTGATTCAATCTCTTGATAGTAATCTCCACAACCATAAAACTAGACAAGCAGATCATTTTTCTGTCAAGAAAATCAAATCAGATATTGGTAAAAAATCCATGTGTCACAATGGAATGATACAATACAATTCACTACCAAATAACTTGAAGCTAATTAATAGGATTGAAAAATTTAAAAAAGAATTCAAGAAACATCTACTCCTGTAATATTGATATCTTGTTTCATTTTTATAGTTGTTTTGTACAATTAATATAGTTTTCTATTGGGTACCTAACAGCTGAGTCAATCAAGAATCATTTTCAGTTGAATTTAAAAAAAAAGATGTCTTCTTGAGTTTTATTTTACTGTCTTCTTTATTTTATTTTGTCAAATATATTTATATATTCACCATGTTCCCTGCTATAAAAAAATGTTGTTTCTTGGGAATAATAAAGTTGATTGATTGATTTCCCTTTCAATTATCCATGTGGCTCAAAAGTTTTTCAATATGAAAATAGGATAGCAGTCTTAAACACATGGCTGATTCAAAAAGCTTTGAAAGAGATGGTAATAGTCTTATTGGACGATGATTTTCCAAAAGTGTTGGGTCATCTTTTTTGAATAAGGGCTTGACTAAAGTCATCTTCAATTTGTCAGGATATATCCCTGTTGAGAAGTTGTTATTAATTATATGACACATTGCACATTGGTATTGCTAATTCATGTGGAACATGTTTTATAGGCTATTTGGCATTTCATCAATGCCAGAACTGTTTTTGTTCTTCAAGTTTAGACACAATTATATTTTGAAATAGATGTGAATTTTTGGCAAGGAATCTACTGATGGAATAAAAATCGAACTGGCAACCTTGGTCCGCGCGGAGAGTGAGTTGACAACAAATGTTTCACGTGTGAATGCTCGTGTGAATGGGACCGCGATGTGGATATAAGTGTGTGAGATCGAAAAAAATGTAATATGCACCTCGGCGAAAAACTGTCTATTGTCTCACCTGATTGCTAGTTTTATCAATTTGCAGACTCGACTATAATAGACAGTTTTTCGTCCTTGGTATATGAATAACTATTTGAAAAACATGTGATACTTCCTACTTCGGACAAGAAATATATTTTTCATTGCAAGTCTATTTCCAGAGATTTTTTCGTGAATGGGTTATTTATTGTTATTTATACTCGTCTAAAATCGCATTTTCTCTATATACAGACTGTTTAGCAGTAATAATAGATCCAATACAGGAAGACCGAGCACACCACTTTGATTAACTTATATAGTGTTCAAGATTGAATGGCAGGAATGATTTTCCTTGAGGTTCCACAAAGAAACTTGGGGAGTTTATGAATTCATGTTATACAGGGTGTTTCACAGGTAAAGGGAAATATTTCAATGGTAGATAGGGGTCACCAAGGTGGTTCTGAAAATACCATATTTGATAGGTCTTAGAGTTTTCATAACGGAGATACAGGGCGATTTATCGATTTTGAATAATTATTCATTCGTTTATAAGTATTGAACTACCCAGTATATTTTTCTAAAATTTGGTATGGAGCTTAAACTTGGGATGTTGAATTCATTCACCTATCGGGCGAAGTGAAAATCCAGGGTCGGCTTCAGGAAAAATTTACATTTATTCGAAATATTAAAATAACACACTGTATATAATAATTGACAAAGTTCATCAAAGGAATCGTGAAGAGGAGGAAAAACCGAACTGGATTTGATGCTTTTTGTTTTCCCGCCACCAATTCTCATCGTAACAATCATAAACAGGAAGCTAAAAGTATGTCAATTTCAAGAGTATTAAAATTATGAAACCACTTTCAATTATGATTATTTGATATATTCTTGTTAAATGATCGTTCGAAAGAACTCACTTAGTCTCACAGTCTTTATAACAGAGATACAGGGTGAATTATCACTCGTCCATAAGTATTAAACTACCCATCGCAGTAATATTTTCTCAAATTTGGTATTGAGCTTACTTGGGACGATGGATACATTGACCTATCAGGCAGAATGGAAATACAGGTTCAGCTTCAGGAAATGTCTCATAGTCTTTATAACAGAGATACAGGGTGAATTATCGAATTATAATTCCGCCTGATAAGTAAATGAATCCATCGTCCCAAGTAAGCATATTTGAGAAAATGTTACTGTGTAGTTTTATACTTATGGACGAGTGAATAATTATTCAAAACCGATAATTCACCCTGTATCTCCGTTATAAAAACTGTGAGACTTTGTAAGTTCTTTCGAGCGATTTTTTGACTAAAATATATCGAATAATCATAATCGACACTGGTTTCATAATCTCAATACTCTTCAAATTGACATACTTTCAGCTTTCTGTTTATGATTGTTACGATGAGAATTGGTGGCGGGAAAACAAAAAGCAACAAATCGAGTTCAGTTTTTCCTCCTCTTCACGATTCCTTCAATGAACTCTGTCAATTATTACATACAGTGTGTTATTTTAATATTTCGAATAAATGTGAATTTTTCCTGAAGCCGAACCTGGATTTTTTCTTCGCCCGATAGGTGAATGAATTCAACGTCCCAAGTTCAAGCTCCATACCAAATTTTAGAAAAATATACTGGGTAGTTCAATACTTATAGACGAATGAATAATTATTCGAAATCGATAAATCGCCCTGTATCTCCGTTATGAAAACTCTAAGACCTATCAAATATGGTGTTTTCAGAACCACCTTGGTGACCCCTATCTACCATTGGAATATTTCCCTTTACCTGTGAAACACCCTGTATATCAACAATGACTTCTTATTCATCATTGAAATTTTCCTCAGTGGTACGAGGTAATACACAATAAGCAGCTTCAGTTCAATTGAACATTTTCATTACTCGTTTGAAATTTCAGGAGACCTACCAAATACTGAATATTGAAATGAACACTTCTTCTGTATTGAAGTGCTTATCATAATTCAATGAATATATTTCAGTTTATGCATTCATTCACTTTCTCAGCATACAAAGACAAAATAAACTTCATAATTTCCATTCATAGAAATCAGAAGATCAGGTATATAAGGTGCCTCGGAACAACGTAGCATTAATTCTACAGGGTGAACTAGAGACCATAGTAGGCCAATAGAAATCAAACTGCCTCTATACAAAAATGCGCCTTTGAGCCGTGAAAGGGCATTGAAAATTGATTTTATTTTCATATTCTCTTAGATATTTCACAATCCATGTAAGGTACTGCTATAATATTTGTAGGGCAATTTTCTACTGTGAATGTGCATGGAAAACATGTCATACCAATTCAATCAATATGTTGCATTCACATTTGACAGATGACCGACCCTGGAAGTAAAACTACCTCACTATTCTTATTTGCTGTCTTTCATTGTTAACCCAATTGTGTTGCCAACACGGCGCGGCGGCACAATTTTTCTTTTTTGTTCTAAAATCTGTTCTATCCGTCATTCGGTTGCCCCCTTACGAGCAACCCTCAAAAGTCTTCGAAAGTCTTGTGCGAGCAAAACGACAACTTTGTCTTCGTCTATGGCACGGCACGGGATATTGGTTTCGGACCTCTTTGTAGCAATTATTTTGGCATACAAATCGTGTTTTTGGGGCTATTTATTTATTCTAGCATGCCATATGACATTGTGCTGTTGTACAATGCACGAAAAATGCAGTCAGAGACGATAGGAATACTATTTTTTTAAGAAATTATGATCTATAAGTACTGTAGTCACTCAAATAGTAAGTGTTCATTTCAAAATTTTGTCATTTCTCTCTAGAACTCCTTTTACAATATGATGTAATAATTTAGGATCTCTCAGTAATCATCATTCAGTAAAGTATCATTTGATTCAATAAATGATTTTTTATTTTACATAGGTTATACAATTCTATGTTATTGTTCTGATTCATATATTATCAATACAGGGAGTATCTGAAAGTGAGGTTTTTTATTCAACAGGGTATATATCTTGCCAAAATAAGTTGGTTGGCCAAAAATTGTTGATGTAAAAAATATTATATATTGGAGGTACAGACATTTTGAGGTTCTGTACATTAAATGAGTTGTTTGGCCAAAAATTGTTGATGTAAAAAATGTTAGATATTGGAGGTACAGGCATTTTGAGGTTCTGTGCATCAATTAAGTTGTTTGGCCAAAAATTGTTGATGTAAAAACTGAAAGATATTGGAGGTAAAGGCATTTCGAGGTTCTGTACATTAAAAATCCTAAAAAATCCCTTCAAAACGAAAAGTAATAGGTTGATGATGTAAATGTATACCTACAGTCTGTCCAAGATAAGGTTGAACAGCATGGGGATCTCGAATACTGTAGGAGATACGAAGTCGGTTAAATGGGGAAAAAGTTGCGCATTTGGAGGTTCATATCAAGAGCCTTCGAAAATTTTTGAAATTATTTTTAGTTTTTTAGTTATATCGAAAAAAGTGAATTTTTGGAATATCTATTCCATTTTTTCCCCCCGTTATTATTAGAGATACAGAAAAACTGAAAATACTTTTTCATAGCAACTTTTGATGACGTTTAACGTGGTTATACCGATTTTTTTATGCGACGTTTCGGATCCGTAGAACCATCATCAACTTTTGTTTGTTAAATACGGTCCTGATAATTTTTTCACAGATTCTGAAAGGTTTTTTTATTCTGAATTCAACCATGTATTAGACAATGTGATTTGAATGTGTTTCGACCTATTTCTATATCATCAATGTTTTTTTTTTCGAACTTCCAAAGGAAAAGTGCCATCAGTTCCATTTATTTCTGATCATTTAGTGTCAAACATTGATGGATAAGTTATTCAATACTGAAAAGTGAATAAACAATATTTCACTACATCATTCAATGCAGCGCTTGAAATTGTTGATGAATTCTTACACGAATTACTTTAACAACTTAACTTTGACAATACCTACAGAAACATTTATAACAAATGCTCAAAATGATAACCATTATTTTCTGAACAAAGATATCCTCTTCTCACAGTTGCTTCTAAGACATTACTAAGCAGTTCTGGGGTTATTCTATTGAATGCTCAAGCAAATTTCTATAACGTTAGGAAATCTGTGTTTCATGGTAAATAAAAGGACCAATAATTCGTGTACCAAATATCGCAACCCACATATTAAACGATATTGGTGTCTCGCTGTAATGTATAAATGTTCATTTTCTCGTGAACAATAATGTGTATTTTTTCTATCGAAGATACCATGGTTAGTGGCCATGCTTTCATCAGTCCAGATGATTGTTCGCGGGAAATTTGCAAAATTTCGACATTTCCTGGTATACCACTCACAGAATGTCCTGCGCCTTTCGTCATCGCCTGGTTTTAGCTCTTGACATATTTTGAATTTGTATGGATGGAATTTTTGTTTCCGCAAAATGAAATAGGTTGTTGATTGAAACCAGTTGATGAGGTATTAGTGTGTTGACTAATTTTCCTCCAAAATAAGTGGAACTGATGGCATTTTTCCTTTGGAATTTCGAAAAAACATTGATTATGGTTAAAAATAGGTCGAAACACACATAAACCACCTTGTATAATACATGGTTGAATTCAGAATAAAAAAACCTTTCAGAATCTGTGAAAACATTATTAGGACCGTATTTAAAAAACAAAAGTTGATGATGGTTCTACGAATACGAAACGTGGCATGGAAAAATTGGTATCACCACTTTAAACGTCATCAAAAGTTGCTATAAAGAAGTATTTTCAGTTTTTCTGTATCTCTAATAATAACGGAGAAAAAAAATAAAATAGATATTCCAAAAATTCACTTTTTTCGATATAACTAAAAAACTAAAAATAATTTTAAAAATTTTCGAAGGCTCTTGATATGAGCCTCCGACTGCGCAACTTTTTCTCCATTCAACCGACTTCGTATCTCCTACCGTTTTCGAGATCCCCATGCTGTTTAACCTTATCTTGGACAGACTGTATATATACAATATAATAAATACATTCACAATTCGCATTATCTATGTGATGAAAATATCAATTCCTTCTCGGTTTATTCAATAGATAACTACTTTCCTGGCTATATGCCATGACGAATATGAATACGAATATTCAGAATGATATGTGCATACACATTTTCATCTGAAGGTGAATACAAATTCTCAACTGCAGAAAAGTAGTTGTTTTCTATTGAATAAACCGATATTTTCATCACATAGAGAATACGAATTCTCAATGTATTTTTTTATGTATATATTAATTTTTTCATGTTCATAATTCATTTAAGAATATTTCTTTTCGATATGCACTATACCTGTTTTTGTATAATAATAATATAATAAAGGAATTGAATGTAGAAGGCCGCCATACTCGGATCATTGCGTTTACTCAGGGCACACGGTTTTATCCAGCACGACTCTTCGTGACGTGGGAGGCCGCAGAGTCGTGACCGCAATAGATATATATTCAACCTTAATAATAATAATAATAATAAGAGATCTATAGTCACAAATTATTTCAGCCATAAAAAAATTCCCTTCTTTTTCGTTTGTCGCGAACAGTATTTAATATCTGAATACATTTTCAGGAAAAACATTCCTGAATACCATTGAATACTTGGACATCAAATCCAATGAATGGACCACGTTTGTACCGAAAGAAGACACATACGAGATGCTGGTTAGGCGAAAACCTCGTAGTCGGCGGAATTCAAGAAAAAGCGTTTCAGAAGATAGGAAGTTGAGTGCACCAACCTCACCGATGGATATAATAGAAAACCCTATGGTACAGGAAGCTGTGACCACAACACAAAAAGTGGATATAGGAAAATCATAACAATCTGTTAAGTGAATTTGATTACTTCAATCATCTCTATAAGTAGTTACTAGAGATGTATAACCAATCCAAGTATTATATTCATGTTATGCTGAAAATTGTTTTCAGTGTCTCTTTCATTTCTACTTTTTCAAATAATTGTATTTATCATGCCATAAGTAATTCAAATTTCCTTTAATTGAATTGTGATTAATTTAATTGATAATCTCATAACTGTCAATGTTATTTCATCATTTCTACCCCATTGAAACATATTTCTGATATATCAAATGTATTATCAACAAAATATTTGATGTCATTCTCCAGTACAAGGTTAGTTCAGAATTAATAAACTGAAGAGATGTAGATATATTCAAGAATCATTTTTGTAAAAATTATAATGCTTATTAAAAGAATTTGCTGGTCAGATTATTTTAGAAATTTCGAAACATATCTCATTGAGAGGTTAACAGATACCATTTTATTCAGATTTTCTTAGGTGCGGTAGTTTCCATTGTTGTAAATAACAGTTCCTAAGTATCTCTGAAAAATAGTTCGTGTTATTCGAATTATCTGTGATCATAATTCTGAAAAGCTAACCTCAAAATATATTGAGAACAATATATTATAATATCTCTAGATTACTGGAAATCAAAATTTTGTTATCAACTGAATGTGCACTTATGTAGTTTTATTATGTATTGTACTTCTGAACTCTTGTTGAAAAGCAGCTGAAATGTGCATGAACGTTTGGAAGAATGTCCAGAACAAAAATAAAAATCGATAAAAATTATTATAATAGCAATTTTTTTCTTTGTTATACCTTGAATAAGTATACTGATGACTGGAACCTTTGGCATGATAATGCACTACACTGTTCAACCACTAACCAAACGTTTTTGAACTCATCGACATGTGTTATGCTATGTTAGCATTTTCAGGAGAAGACTGAAACTGAATCTCAACTTAATCTTAAACTCAAACTTAATCTTCTCCTGAAGATGCTAACATAGCGAAGCACGTGTTGAGGCTTTTGAAAAATCAGTTTGGTTAGTGGTAAAACAGTGTAGTGGGCTTTGAATTTCTTTGACTGAAACCTTTGGCACGATAATTCACTATACTGTTTTACCACTAACCAGACTGATTTTTTAAACAGCTCGACACCTGTTAAGCTAACTATGTTAGCATCTTCAGGAGGACTTCTTCTTCTTCTCTGCACAGGTGAGAGGGTGCGTAGACCCCTGCACTCAGGCCTCTTCAGTCGGGCCCATTGTGCGCCCACTTGTCCTGTGAATCAGCTGGGCATGCCGATTTCTTTGACGAAATTCAGCATCTTCCTCAGCTGAGTCGCTTTCACATCCTTTGGGTGCAGTACAATGCTCCCAAAGGAAGCTTTCCTCTGATGCACCAGCGCGGGGCAATCAGTGAGTGTGTGTGATGATGTTTCATCATCCTCCAAGCACCATCTGCAAATGGGATCATCTTTGATCCCTATGAGTTCTAGGACTTAATGTTCTCCTGAAGATGCTAACATAGTTAGCGAAACACGTGTCGAGGCGTTTTTAAAATCAATTTGGTTAGTAGTTAAACAGTGTGTAGTGGACTTTGGATAAGTAATAGTTAAAAATTTAATTTCCAAATAATGTTCCACTATAACAAAGGGAAGAGTCGTGAGAATTTGTTCAAAAAGAGTTTTTCTAAATAGTTTTTCTCTTTTAAACACGATGAGAAATAACAGTATACCCAGTAATTGTATAACAATAGCGCTCGAAAGACAAATTTAGCTAGCCAGAGATAGATAGCTCCAACGACTTCTTTTTCACAAATGTAACAATGGGCCTGTTTTAAACATCGATATTTCTATTCGTGCGAAAATCAAGAATTATTATTCACAGAAAATTTGCACGAAGGACCCTGCTTACGAACCATATGTTACTGGAGCACATGGGTTTAGCCCTCCTGATTTGAAATGTTCAATTTGCTCTCGTAGTTGTACAGAGTGATTGAATATGGATTTCACGTTTTCAACACTCAATATTTCGAAAACTAAATAGACATTGGAAACTTCAAAACAAAATCTTGAATCGGAGATTGTTCTCTTTTGAGTGGTGCCCTTCAAACTATATTTCCATCCATAAACGAGGAGTGTGAAAATGTAGAATATTGTCAAATGGAACACTCTATATTTTATTGCATATTTTAGAGAGATTTTTGCTGATTTCAAAAATATATAATTTTCATATATTCCATGGAGTAATACTGGTTGATTCAAAGGAATATAACGTAGATAATTGCAATTTTTGTCATGAATTCATCTGATTCAACTAAAGTTGGGCTGAACCGCTGAAACCAGGTGATTATCAAAAATATCGATTGTCAGTTGACCTGACATCAAACTTGAATTCAATTAAATAATTTTACGACCCCAATTACCATCAATTATACTCCTTCGATTAACCCACTGTTACTCCATAGATTTTATGGAAGTTATTTATTTTTGAGATCAGCAAAAATCACTTGAAATATGCAATAAAATATAGTGTACCATTCGAAAAAAAATCACGTATTCACCCCCCCCCCCCCCTGCAAATGGGGATAATATAATGTTTGGAGAGCACCATTCAAAGATAACATCAGATTCAAGAGTTTCTTTTGAAAGTTACAATATCTCATTTAGGTCTCGAGATATAGAGTGTTGGAAGCGTGAACGAATGTACTCCACATCGATATCTATCTCAAATTGACCATTCCATGTATCTATAACAGGTGATATGTCGTTCATTATTTAAAATCATCACAATATTTTTTCAGTCGTTAATTATTTAAAATCATCACAATTTTTGTTAACAATTACAATAACCACCTCTCGAAAATGCTAGCTTTCGATGACGTGATACACTGATAAGCATTAATAGTTTAATATTCCTAAATGAGGGCTAAAACATTATTTATTTTCCACCAGATCGTGCTGCTGAGACGTGACGTCATCAGTGTTGGTTGAACTGATAGGTATATATACTTTTTTTCCTGTCATCTGGCTTCTTGTTATGATATCTTCTCTTTGCATGTAAAGTTCCATATTGTGAGTAAGAAACGCAAATCTGTCGGAGTATTACAATAACGAGTTTCTCAGTTCACAGAATATCTTCTTGAAACAGGCAACAGCCTTCAGGAAAGAGCTATCCGGCAAAATTCTGGTACTTTTGTCTTTGACATTGGCCTTATAGGCTTAGTAACGCCAACTGGTGAGACTGAGAATGTGTGAGCCCTCATAAAGAAAAATATATCCATAATCCACATAGAAATGAGAATTTACTTCCACAGTAGGTGTACATATGAGATATAGACAATACAAAAGTTGTGTATCGTTTATACGTTCCACTGGATTCATCGCGGTATATCCCAGACTGCACGATGACATCTCAAAGACGTCGACCCAAGACATTCGGGACGTCTTAAAGATGTCTTTATAACGTTTAATCGTACATAAACTGGACGTCTTGAAGAGAATGCTCAAGCAAATTTCTATAACGTTAGGAAATCTGTGTTTCATGGTAAATAAAAGGACCAATAATTCGTGTACCAAATATCGCAACCCACATATTAAACGATATTGGTGTCTCGCTGTAATGTATAAATGTTCATTTTCTCGTGAACAATAATGTGTATTTTTTCTATCGAAGATACCATGGTTAGTGGCCATGCTTTCATCAGTCCAGATGATTGTTCGCGGGAAATTTGCAAAATTTCGACATTTCCTGGTATACCACTCACAGAATGTCCTGCGCCTTTCGTCATCGCCTGGTTTTAGCTCTTGACATATTTTGAATTTGTATGGATGGAATTTTTGTTTCCGCAAAATGAAATAGGTTGTTGATTGAAACCAGTTGATGAGGTATTAGTGTGTTGACTAATTTTCCTCCAAAATAAGTGGAACTGATGGCATTTTTCCTTTGGAATTTCGAAAAAACATTGATTATGGTTAAAAATAGGTCGAAACACACATAAACCACCTTGTATAATACATGGTTGAATTCAGAATAAAAAAACCTTTCAGAATCTGTGAAAACATTATTAGGACCGTATTTAAAAAACAAAAGTTGATGATGGTTCTACGAATACGAAACGTGGCATGGAAAAATTGGTATCACCACTTTAAACGTCATCAAAAGTTGCTATAAAGAAGTATTTTCAGTTTTTCTGTATCTCTAATAATAACGGAGAAAAAAAATAAAATAGATATTCCAAAAATTCACTTTTTTCGATATAACTAAAAAACTAAAAATAATTTTAAAAATTTTCGAAGGCTCTTGATATGAGCCTCCGACTGCGCAACTTTTTCTCCATTCAACCGACTTCGTATCTCCTACCGTTTTCGAGATCCCCATGCTGTTTAACCTTATCTTGGACAGACTGTATATATACAATATAATAAATACATTCACAATTCGCATTATCTATGTGATGAAAATATCAATTCCTTCTCGGTTTATTCAATAGATAACTACTTTCCTGGCTATATGCCATGACGAATATGAATACGAATATTCAGAATGATATGTGCATACACATTTTCATCTGAAGGTGAATACAAATTCTCAACTGCAGAAAAGTAGTTGTTTTCTATTGAATAAACCGATATTTTCATCACATAGAGAATACGAATTCTCAATGTATTTTTTTATGTATATATTAATTTTTTCATGTTCATAATTCATTTAAGAATATTTCTTTTCGATATGCACTATACCTGTTTTTGTATAATAATAATATAATAAAGGAATTGAATGTAGAAGGCCGCCATACTCGGATCATTGCGTTTACTCAGGGCACACGGTTTTATCCAGCACGACTCTTCGTGACGTGGGAGGCCGCAGAGTCGTGACCGCAATAGATATATATTCAACCTTAATAATAATAATAATAATAAGAGATCTATAGTCACAAATTATTTCAGCCATAAAAAAATTCCCTTCTTTTTCGTTTGTCGCGAACAGTATTTAATATCTGAATACATTTTCAGGAAAAACATTCCTGAATACCATTGAATACTTGGACATCAAATCCAATGAATGGACCACGTTTGTACCGAAAGAAGACACATACGAGATGCTGGTTAGGCGAAAACCTCGTAGTCGGCGGAATTCAAGAAAAAGCGTTTCAGAAGATAGGAAGTTGAGTGCACCAACCTCACCGATGGATATAATAGAAAACCCTATGGTACAGGAAGCTGTGACCACAACACAAAAAGTGGATATAGGAAAATCATAACAATCTGTTAAGTGAATTTGATTACTTCAATCATCTCTATAAGTAGTTACTAGAGATGTATAACCAATCCAAGTATTATATTCATGTTATGCTGAAAATTGTTTTCAGTGTCTCTTTCATTTCTACTTTTTCAAATAATTGTATTTATCATGCCATAAGTAATTCAAATTTCCTTTAATTGAATTGTGATTAATTTAATTGATAATCTCATAACTGTCAATGTTATTTCATCATTTCTACCCCATTGAAACATATTTCTGATATATCAAATGTATTATCAACAAAATATTTGATGTCATTCTCCAGTACAAGGTTAGTTCAGAATTAATAAACTGAAGAGATGTAGATATATTCAAGAATCATTTTTGTAAAAATTATAATGCTTATTAAAAGAATTTGCTGGTCAGATTATTTTAGAAATTTCGAAACATATCTCATTGAGAGGTTAACAGATACCATTTTATTCAGATTTTCTTAGGTGCGGTAGTTTCCATT